ATGGAGCTCAGCTCAATTGTAGTGTCTGAACAAGTCGGTGGATTTTAAGAGATAACCAACTCTGCTGCCCTCCTGATATGGAAAGTACTCAAGCCTTCCTCTAATTGAAAAAGCACAATCACAGAGCAGAGACAGAATTAACCTAATGAAAGAAATGATTTAAATGTTTGTGATACAGGAAAAAAACAACAAAGTGTGTATTGAATTCAGCAGAATGCCTTCTTTTGTGAGAAAGCACTGTTGTTTTGATGTTGAGGCACCAGTCTAATATCTACTTTTAATGGTTTTCGGGACTATCTGGGGAATTCAGCAGTTGTATGAAATTAATACAGTTTGCTAATGAGGTTTAGGAAAGTAAATGGATTTGTCTTGCCTGTCAGAGTATAAGCTGATGCATGCATCCACAGAGATGGCAGAAGATTCTATTTCTATTCATTCACTGGATGAGAGTATAGATGGTTTATCCAGTATTTATTGTGCATCCCTAGTTGCCTTTGAAAAGACAGTGGTGATCTTCTTTCTTGAATAACTGTATTCCATGCTTTCTGGGTAGACCTGCAAAACTGTTAGGAACAGAGTTCCAGGATGTTATTCCAATGGCAGTGAAGGAAAGCAATGTTCTTCAAAGTCAGATTGGTGTGTGGCTTGGAGAGGATCTTGAAAGTGGTGGTGTTCCTATGACTCAGCTGCCCTTGTCCATCTAGGTAGTAGAGTTCACGATTTGGAAGCCTAAAGGGCCTTGGTGGGTTGTTGCAGTCCATCTTTTGTAGATGGTACAAATTGCTTCCATTGTAAGTCGGTAGTGGAGGGAATGAACTTTGAACATACCAGATGGAGTTCCAATCAAGTGGCTGCTTTGTCCTGGATGGTGTCAAGCTTCTTGAGCATTGCTGGAGCTGCACACATCCAAGCAAGTGGAGAATTTTCCATCATATTGTTTTCTTTTACCTTGCAAATAGTGGAAAAGCTTTCAGGAGTCAGGAGGTGAGTTATTCACTATAGTTTCCCACCTCTGACATGCTCATAAAGCTGCAGCATTTGTATAGCTGATCCAGTTTAGTTTCTGTTCAATGGTAACCATCAGAATGTTGATGTGAGAGATTCAGTGATGGCAATGCTATTGAATGTCGAGGGGCAATGGTTAGATCCTGTCCTTTTGGAGATGTTCATTGCCAGATTCTTGTGTAACAAGGATATTATGTACCATTGTCAAGCCAAGTCTGAATGCTGTCCTGATCTTGTTGCATTTGGACATGGTCTGCTTCATTATCTTGTATTTTGCAGTGATGGACTGGGCATCCCCATAATTGACAATGGGAATATTTTAAGAGCCATCTCCTCCATTGAGTTTTTGAAATGTCCTTCACTATTCATGACTGATGGCATTTGGGACATAGTTAGTTTTAGAGAATCATACAATGACAGGCTGAGTCTTCACACTATTTCTTTAGTAAAATTAGATATTGAATTAGACCATGGACTATTATTATGTCTTGCTTCAGATTTTTTTTCAATCTGGCAGTGAGTTTACCCAGAATAATTTTAATGATATTTCAGAAATAGCACAGTTGACTGCGTGTTGAAGGGGGCTGATAAAAAGTAATTAATCATAGACTTCATGCAGCAAATAGCAAGCAAGCAAACAATGATTGTAAAATTATTGAAGAATCAGTTTACTTTTGAAGTAGAATATTAAAATAAGTGACCTGAGAACATTAAATACCAACTGGGGAGGCGATGGCCTAGTGGTATTATTACTGAACTGTTTACCCAGAGACCTAGATAATGTCCTGAGGACCCAGATTCAAATCCCACCATGGCTGATGGTGGCATTTGAATTTAATAAACATCTGGAATTAGGAGTCTAACGATGATTGTGAATCCAGTGTCAATTACAAGGGGAAAAACCTATCTCTTTCACTAATGTCCTTTAGAGAAGGAAACTGCTGTCCTTACCTGGTCTGGCCTACATGTGACTCCAGATCCACAGCAATGTAGTTAACTCTTAACTGCCCTCTGGGAAATTAGGGATGGGCAATAAATGCTGCCCAGTGACACCCTCATCCCATGAATGAATAAAGGAGAAAAAAAAATGGATAATTGGTTTCACCATTCTTTTTGATTAAAGCAGGTGAATAACTTCTGGGTGAAAATTCAGGTAGGTTTTAGGTTAACAATTAACTATTACAAACAAATGGATTCTGATTAAATGAAATGGTCTACAAATATTGGTCCAGCAATGTTTACTTCTGATAAAAGTGTGGTGATAAGGGAGGAACCAAAACACTGTGACTCAGTTGCCAGTGGTGAATGAATAGCCTCAGTTAAATTAGACAACTCAAAAGTCAGCACTGCAACATGTGAAGTGTTTCTGATTGATTCACTCATATTAAAAAATGTTTCTGACGAAAATTTTTTTAGCAAAAGCATTCCACATATGTGGGACAGATTTATTGTAAATTTATTTTATGTATAATCATTTTATCTAGATATTTCAGTATAGTTCTTAGACAGGTGTGTCTTTTACATATGTTGCTTACTCCAGTTCAGTGTCATATTCAGTATGGCATTCTAACTGCATTGACTATTACTCACATCTTTACCAGTAAAACTAGCTGTATTTGTTCTAAAGTCTGGGGTCTTGGAAAAGAGTTGAAAAGCACTATTAATGAAAGTCTGCTATTTATATCTACAGAGCTTGCCATAGTATTATTGTTACAGTCTAGAAGTAATAGCATTGTCTTTGCTTTAATAAGAGCGTGAGTTAGGATCTGATTTCCTGTCACTTACATCAAAGCTGATATAATAATACTCCGTTAATCTGTTTGGAGTTAGTAAGTAGCTTAAGTATTGTTATTGTCACAGAAAAAAATTATTCCTGAACATGTTTGCTTTCCTAAGAAAGTTGTATAATTATTTTGTTAACGTTGAACTAATAAAAATGGTAAGTCCTTATCCTTGCAGGGCCCAGACAGTTGCATGTATGGCAGCCAATGGTGAAGCATTTAAAATTAGAGATGCTCCAGAGATCAGAATTAGATGGGCGTCAATTTATCAAAGTTGTGTGGGGCTGGAGAGATAAAGGACCAAAATATGCGTGTCCTGGTGCAAGGTGAGCTCATGTCATAGGTGGGTGGGTTCTCTGCAGGATGTCTGGCTCCCATTCACCTTGCTAGTGCTTGTTTACAGGATGGGAAAAGCAATAGTACCGCAAGCCCACAGAGTGAATATTTTAGACCCTCTGCAATTTTGATGGAGTTGGTCCAGTTTCTGAAGGTGACATGCGTTATGCCAGTTCAGAAGTGTTGGAAAGTTCCACAATCCCTTGTGTGGAATTGGGAAACATTTGACAGACAAGTTCAAAAAGTGTTGTACCAACTGCTCATATCACAATATAGTGTTATAAATCAAATTTGCTTTAATACAGTGATTGAAGATCGAGCTTTATTTTAAAAGACAACTATCCATTAAGCTTACAGGCATTGTGAAAGAGAAGAGAAAAGCAAAGTTTTCAGGTGCATCAGGTTTCATTAAATAGATGAAGTGTTCATTCTGCAGTGAACAGTAGTGATATTCAGATTTGATAGCGTTATTTGACGCCTGTAATTTAATCTTTTCATTAATTGACAGCTCAGACATTTGTTCCTCAACTGTAAAATTTGAACAGTGGTCTGTTTGAATGACTTAAAAGGTTTTAATGTATTCAACTCTGGAGCTTTTGTTGACATGGTTATGCAATAAAATCTTGCTCTATGAGCTTGGCTGAGTTCTAACAACAAACCCCACCCCCAAGCATTCAGCTCAACACGGGGTTGGATGCAATCATTAAATGGAACCTCTTTATACATTATTAGCTGACCTCCTGATTCCTGCATCAAAGGGGGAAATCTAACTGAGCAATAGCGAGACCACAGAATAATTTGAAAGCAATGATGAGAATGTTTAATATTGAGTCTTTGCTTAACTGTTTAAAATCAGGGTCAGCAAGAATGAGTGACTGTTAACTGAGAATTGATGCAATTTGTCATGGGCAGGAGAATTTAGTTGATGTCAAGTTTATATAGAGCTGTATATGGAAGGCAACCATCAAATCATTAGAATAGTCAAATCTAGAAAGAATAAAAGGACAGATGAGAGTTTCAACAATAAATCATATCAGGCAGAGGTTCCATCATGGAATGGCTTGGTGAAGGTGCACATATGGGAATGGAAACTCATCTCAGGATTAATATGACTTGAAGGCTGTAAAGAGCATGGTTCACCCTCAGGCAGTTGAGGGAGTTATGAGAGATGGCAACGACCTAGAACTAAGCAAATTCAACGTGCATTGGAAACATGACATGTTTTCAGATGAGTTTACTTGGGTGCAACATGTAATGATAAATAAGCAGAGGCCAAGGAAAGTTTAAGGACATGAGGGATGAGATTGGGGGAAGAATTCATTGCAACTAATTTTCTGGCTATGATGAAAATGGACACAATCCCATCCTAAGTGACAGGAAGGAGAGTGGTGTGATCAACAAGTTCAGAAGGGTAAGGAGAAATAGTTTACTTTTGTCATAGTCACATGGGATGTCATTTGTGATTTTATAAGAGCCATATCGTTACTCAGTAGCTTGCGCAGTAACCTGAGTGGAGGAGTTCAAAATTGGAGTTGTGTGAAAGGTAGGTACAAATTTGGAAGGCAGAGCACATTCAAGAACTTTGAAGAGCATGTAAGAAAATTAAAAAACATCTTGACACACTTGATGCATTAAATATTGTAACTTGTCTTGTAAAATATAGAAATGACAATCCCTCTGGTTCAGCTCATGCACTTTTTCATCAGCTTAATTTGAAATTTTAAGACAAGAGAATTATCTGGGTGATTTCATTTTGATACCTTTATGTGACAATAAAGGCATTGATTCATTTAATGGTATATTTATGTCGCCTGCATTTTTGAAAACTATATATAGAGCTAACATATGGATAAACCATGTTCACTTCCATATTTTAAGGTAAAGGCTGGAAATTATGCATTCATCTGGGATGTTGCAGCCCTGGAATATATTGTAGAGAATGAGCCTGATTGCTCCCTTGTCACAGCAAGGAATTCTAAAGTTGATCGAGGTTATGGCGTTGCTCTTCAAGATGGCAGCCCTTACAGAGACATTTTTTCGCACAGGTATGTCCTGCCTGTGCTTGAAATCCAATAGTTTTGATATTGTATTCTACATCTTGTGTCTAAAAAATATATATTCTAACAATAAGTGAACTGATTTTGGGATTCCATGAGAAAACCTATCCAAGAAGCTCATGTTTACTTAATTATTTGCGTTAAGTAAAGACAATGCTTTTATTCCATCAACATCCAAGGTGGTTTTATTGAATCTTGCAATAGCAAATATCTACCAAAAAAGCCTTACAAAGATATGGAGCATTCCCAAAAAAAAACCTGGAAAAAATGTACTAAGACATATATTCAGGTTCATATTTTTGAATTTCATCATTCTGTATTATACTAGGATTGCCTGTCATTATGGTTAGCAGTATTCTCTTCTCTTCCTGCAACTTTAGTGACTTCAAGTAAACATTGTTACCAGTATTAATACTGGGCAGGCAATAGGTAACTACTGTCTTTCCCTTGTGAAAAGTGAGTATGAGTGTAGGTGGAAAATGCTATCAAGAAAGTAGAAAAGATTCTGAATTTTATCAAAGGGCTACTTGATATGGATGACAGGGAGCATTCTCAATTTCTACAAAACATTCATCAGACTGCAGTTGGCAAGAATTTCCTACATGTCTGTGAGCCCCACTATAATGAATATTAAGCCAATAATTTCAAGCACGAGCAGTGAAAGATTGTGCATTCGGGTTTTGCAAATCTCTAGCAAGAATCAGACAGGATTGTCACTAGAAGAACAAAAGCTAATATACAATGAAATCCCTTCACTTAGAGAGTTATTGATTCTTTGAAATTTTCTACCCAGAGTTACTGTATTCAAGGTTGAAATTGATAAACATTTGGACACTGAGGGTATCAGGAATAAGGCAATAGGAAAGGAACGTCAATATAAGAGTGGTGAGCATTTTGTTGAAAGGTAGTGCCATTAGTAACAATAACAATTGTATGTTATGAAATTATTTATTTGGTGTGAAAAGTCAATATGAATTAATAATTAGTATTTTTTATATTTTATGAAAGGATGCAGAACCATTTCTGAAATGAGTTGGACATAACTTCTTTGTTTCATCCATTGTATAATTTTTTTGACTGATTTACCACCTTCCTGAAAAATCTAACTTTAAACACAAGGACACTTTTGAATATTAATTTGAATTTTCCAGAGTAGTTTTAACACAGGAATAAACTTATCTTGCCAGTGTATCAGGCCCAAATGCAAAATGTAAGGAGAGTGGTGGCAACCGTTCGGTTTAACCTAGCCGCAGTTCTACAGCAGAAATTACTGCAGCAGCACATTAGCCTCGATTCAAAAAGTTATAAACTCAAATCTGCACTCCAGAATCTTGAGCGTCTGTTGACCATTCCAACAAGCTACTGAGAAACTGCTACACAATCAGAGGTGCCATATTTCAGATGAAGTAATAACATAGGCTATCTTTGTTGTATTAATTGGATGCAAATGAATATCATGCCACGATTGTGAAGAAGAGTAGAGAAATTCTGTTTGCTGTCCCAGCCAATGTTTATCCCTTAACCAAAATCACAAAAGTAAATTGACTGATGACTATCAAATTGTTGTTTGTGGGTGTTCTTATGTGCAAATTGTGTTTTTATTTATTATTACAGAAGTGACTACATTTGGTAAATAGTTCAAGTTGGTGTAATGTGTCCTGATGTCTTCTCTCATGCCAGAATTCCTAACATTTCTGACTCTTTCCACCCAGCAATCCAGACATCAAAATTAGCATCTGGGTCATTGCAGGCATGATATTAGGGTTCATTGGGTTCATTGTCTAAAACTGCACATTTCAATTTTATTTGATTGGTTCTCTTACAAGAAGGACTGCTACAATGCAAACACTCACCTTTAATTCATTAAAGATTTAGTCTTAATGACACATTCGTGCTCTGAAAATTTTTGAAGTACAGGACCCATTTTGATCTGTATTTGTGGTTTACAATTAACTGTGACCCTTGCCAAGCTATTCAGGTGCAGCTGTAACACTGTCAAGGAATGTGAGAAATTGCCAAGGTATGTTCTGTTTTAAAATTGGCCTAAGAAGAAGCCTGTGTGATGGAGCTGTTAAGGATTAGAGGGGGGGCCCAGATTGTTTTGCTGGACAGAAGGTATACAATATTCACATTTAGAGACAATGGCAGAAGCATCTGTTTACAATGGTTAAGGTATTAGTTTTCAAACTCCCAGGTAAGTGTTGAGAGTATGGAGTTGTAAACAGTAATACTTTAAACTGTCCATATCCTTCCAAGAAAATAGAGCTGCAGTCTCACGGATAGCTAATCAGAGATTAAACTTTGAAACAAGATACATGTGATTCACCTTGCCATAGAGGTAGCCTTTGGGAGGAAAGGGTTTCTAAAATATTCCTGAAAACATGGGCAGATTGCCATGATCCAGAAAATCAGGAACAGCCAGAGGCTGACATCTCTGTGGTTCACTGCATTGGAGTGCAAATGTGATTCATTTTGGATCAGAAAGACCACATTTGTTAGGATTTGAAACAAGGTTGGAAGATAATACAGATTGCACCAAAGGAAGCCTTCATCATGAAACACAGTTCTACAGTTAAGAAATACCAGACTTGGAAAAGGAAGGGAAACAAATCCTCAAGTGCACAAAATCGCTTTGGAATGGCTCCTGATACTGTGAAATGGGATTTTGGTTGCGTTAAAAGTTCTACAGTTTAAAGTACAAGCTCCTTCAAAAATAGAATTTAGTCAATAGTGCTTTGAGCCTGTTTGTTACAGTAGAAATCTTAAAATTTGAAATCCTGTTGTATTATTCTTTCAATTATTTGTTAAAGTACAAATTTCTGTTTTTATAAAGATAGCATTGTCTATGAGGATCATAACATGGTTCCCGAAACTGCCCATAGTACTCCAGTTGTAGTCTGGTGATGCGTTTATTATGGCTAAAATAGGATTTCTATGTGCTCTGCATTCTAGACCTCTATATATGAAGGCCAGAATTTCATTAATCTTTTGTGTTCTGTATCTATTTTGCAAGTATTTCAAGGGTCTGTTTGTATGAAGACAGAAATCTCTTTGGTTTCTCACCATCTAGAAAGAACCTTTTTATTCCAGATTGGATTATCTCACATTTGCCTATGTTGAATTCCACAGTTTCACTCATTCACTTAATCTATTAATACCTCTCTATAATTTTATTCTTCTATCTCCAGTGCTTTCAATACAGGCTCTCTTTGTATCACAAGCAAATTTGGTTATGGGCTGTTAGTCCATTGTCTGAGTCATTAATAAATACTTTGAATAGTTCAGTCCCCAACTCAAATCCTGTTGGACAGAGCTAGAAATATTCTGTCAAATACAGTACCTACCTATTATCCCTTCTTGCTGTTTTCTGCCACTCAGGTTTTAAACAAGGTCAATAATTTGCTTTTGCCTCTTTGAGTCTCAATCTTAGCTAACAACTAAAATCAGGAACGAGTCAGAATTTTCTATTCACAAAATACATCCTTTGCTTTTAAATCACTAACATTTTCTTTCAAACTGCTTCTTGTTGAGCTTCTGAAACACCATAGCAACTGTTGCCCAGATACCTCAGGCATGACTTTTAACAGATGTAACTGCTAGGTTATTTTTGAAGCCTATTTGGTGTCATTAGAACTAACATGTATGTAGTTTGCCTGTAATTGTAACTCGTGCATGCACAATAGATTTGTTTTTTTTTCTTTCAAGTTCATAGATTGGATCATGAAAGGATAGATTACTCATTTTTAAGTAAGAAACAAATGGCCCACCTGATATGGTAAATGGCAAAAACAAGAGCAGTTTCTGTTATTTAAAAAAAATTGGAATACCAGGACTGCTAATTGCCAGTCATCTTTATGGCTTATTAACACAGGAAACATCTCAGCATAAGAATCATTTGATAATATGAATGCACATCTGCTTGAGATTTGCACCTTTCATTTTGTACTATCTCTCCAAAATGTATCCGCTCACATTTCTCTGCATTGAATTTAATCTGCTACCTATCTGCCCACTCCACCACTTGTCAATTGATTTTGAAGTTCTACACCATCCTGTTCAAAGTTTACAATGACTGCAGGTTTTCTATTGCTCACAAACTTAGACATCCTCTGTATATCAATGTCTATATCATTAACATATATCAGGAAAATCAAAGGTCCCAATACCAACCCCTGGGTGCTCCACTGCAAATGTTCCTTCAACCTGAAAAAATATCCACTGATCATTATTTTCTGTTTGCTATCACTCAGCCAATTTTGCATCTATATTACTACCATTCATTTATTCTATCAGCTCTTAATTTGCTCCCAAATCCGTTGTATAACACTGTTTCAAATAACATTTGGTAGTCCATGTAAACCACATCAGCAGAAATGCCATTATAAACCTTCTTTGTTGCCTTTTCGGCAAGTTGAATAAGCATAAATTTCCCTTAGGAAATTCAATTAACTCAAATAGTCCACGTGATTTATTTTAATAATCATGAATTATTTTATCTAAAAGCTCCCTAGCGCCAAAGTTAATCTAACAGGTCCGAAAGTGATCGGCTTATCCTTCACCTTTTTATTGACAGAAGTGGCAATGTTGCAATTTTTCAAACTTTTTCCACTATCCATGAATCTAAAGAAAACTGAAAAAACCAATGCCTCTGTCATTTCCATTCTCACTTCCTTCAGTATCCTTGGATACAACTCCTCTATTACTGGCCTACTTAAATTTAACTACAGACTGTCTATTCAATATTTCTGCATCAACTTTGAACCTTCTAGATTCAGCCTCGTTCTTAATTGTACTTTCTCCCAGGCATAAGCACATTCTTCTTTATATTCATTTCTATCTTCTTTTTCATCCAGCGAACTCTGGATTTGTTTGCCTTACCTTTTCCTTTTGAGAGAGCATAGCTTGTGTCCAAGTCATCTCTTTTTGAAGGTAACCCATTATTTAGCTACACTCTTTGGCTACATTTTGTTATGTACTAGACTAACCCC